ATTTATTTATTCATTTACTTCTCCATTTATTTATTTATTCATTTACTTCTCCATTTATTTATTTATTCATTTACTTCTTCATTTATTTATTTATTCATTTACTTCTTCATTTATTTATTTATTTACTTCTTTATTTATTTTTAATACATTTTCTTAAAATAGATTTTTCGTTCTGTTTCTCTGACCTTTTGAGCGAATGCTGAGATTGCCCCACGTTTCGCTTCTGGACGTAAATGTAACTTCATTGTCTGTGCGCGTCTTCTAGAGTGCAGTGGGAAGTATATTCCTTCACGAAGGTCATTATGATGGATAAAAGCTTAAATCTAAAACCGATTTGCCCTTGAAATATATTATTTTACATCCGAGCGAATAGTTTATTAATAATTCTTGCCAAAGACTATTTGTTTCTGTCTTCAGATTCCTTGTATCCTACAAGGCTTTCGGTAGGGATCCCATAATTAAGAAAACAATGCACTTCTCCCCAGTTTTTAACTTTTTGACGTAAATTAACTAATACTGGTTATGAACGTTAATTCGCTTGCTTGCACATGCGCGTAAGCATCGGTACGCATTAATTCATTCATGTATTCACACGCGCGCTCCTATTCACACTATCGCATACTTACACCAACACCCACGCACCATCACGCACGCACACTCGCACGAACGCGCATACACATACACACACACAAGAGTAAAATGAGAGTAACTTCGTTTTGAAAATAGGTGATCTGCCATGTTATGCGATTATTTAAATGAAATGCAAGACATCCCTTTTATTAATGCTAACATTTATTTGTAGTTTGATATCTATAACATGCTAATTATTACAAAAACTAGGCGAGAACGTTAATTTTTCGTCAACCCCCTCTCTGTCCAATTCGTTTTGCCACATTTGAGGAAACTCCTCCCCAAAATAACATGCATTTGTTTAATGACCCTAATCTATTTTGTTTAGCTTTCACATTTGATGTTTTACTTGTTTTTTTAATTCTAGAAAACGTCCTTGGGGATACTTTGATTTACATTATGTTCTTCCCTTTTCATTTCGAGATTGCTTTTGCACATCACGGTCACAAATACATTCTTCTAAATATAGCATGACCTTGCGAGTCCAGACCTGTATGTTCTTCCGAGACTATTGATATACATTCAAATATTACGCGCTTCGCAAAAGCTGTGTTTAAATGCCAAACAGCAAAGAAGCATTCTTTCCTGTCTGGCAATCAATTTACATTCTATCGCTATTTGTTGTAGTGAGGGAATTGTGAAGAAAACTCAAAAGTAAAATTAATCTCGCCCTCACGACTTACTTTTTCATATCTGATATTTACCAAGTGTTCCAACCTTTTTTATGCGGGCACTGAATAATAGTATATATTCCTTAAATTCAATGAAGGTAATAAAATAAAAATATAGAGGACAAAACCCAGAAATTGGCAGGCATTTCAGTACGCAGCGAAGTAACTATATGCAGCATGCCCAATACTCTCGACTATTTTTAACTTAGGCCAAGAGCCAGATGGTGGTATGGTATCCTCCAAGCGCATCCGTTCGAGTTCTGTGCGCTAACATCTGTCAATGAAGCTGCGTTTGGAATGAACAGAAGTGTCATATTTTGCAGTCTGTCGGTGAAATAAAAGACGATGACGGATAATAATGGATAAGTTTAAGCATATTCCACATCGCGTGGGTCCCAAATTTACATGGTTAGAACAGTTTGAACGTACAAACAGTTAGCGTGCCGGTCTCGTAATTATGAATAATTCTCACATTCTTTTCTTACCTAATTATTCATTTAATGTAAGATTCTTATTTTCGAACATGCCTGAACCAATCTCTGCACCGCATCTTACAGGAACAATTTCAACGTATGTATATTTTAGTCAAATTTCTTAATGAATTAGGGACGGGCACTACAAAAATAATGTGGAAGATGTATTTTTAACATTTTAAAAAGCCAAAAATCTCTGCTTATAACCTGCTGCCTCTCTTCTATTATATAATTACATAGCACAGACGAAAAAAACCTTGAATGTGATATTTTTCTTGATAATGTGTTTTCCACCAAACCACGATAGTTTCTTACGATAGTTTCGCAATAAAAAACAATCGATAGGAGAATTCACCCCGCATAAAATTCGCATAAGCGTGTACATGTAATATTGTTCTGCTTCTGGATCATGTCTGAGGACAACAGCAATTAAGTAATATCCTTAGTACGTCACAGTTTTAGACGTTAAATAATTAAGTAAATAAATAAAAAATAAGAATCACAAGTTAACACATTTAGTTGGCGGTTGCATAACACGAAATGTACGCACAGTTACCATTTAACCTATTTTACTGATTTTTATTTTATCTATCGAAAAATAGCTCCAATAAATTTGCTACATGCAATATCTTCGGAAATGAATTTATTTATACGTCGTAAAAACTTTTTTTCCTTTTCAAAATTAGGTCTGAGTCAGAAAATATTATTATTATTATTATTATTATTATTATTATTATTATTATTATTATTATTATTATTATTGAGTGATTCAATGTCATATAGTTACAACAATTTTGGCAAAGAAAACTAAATCGAGAAATCCGAGGACGATACATGCAATCAGATATTTTAAAAATTATAGAACTTACGTTATAAACTTTAATAAGACAACTTTAATGATTTCATTAATAAAATACTAATTCGTTTAATTAAAAAAGTATTTGCCATGAATTTCATACCTGAAGAAATTGTATTTTATTAATGTAAGGGTTAAGTGTGGGTGATCATTTACGACAAAAACAGTATTTATCTTTAAAACTAATACATTTGACAAAACGAGTATTTATCTTTAAAACCTATACTTTGATATTAACGGATGAAAAATGTGAACACACAGACAATACTTACCGCTCATTTTTCCTAGCTTCTGTTTCGTATATTAGTTTCAATTCGCGCACTCTTGTGCGTCCAGCAACTGTTCAAGTCAATCCCTTGCCTCCCGGAATAACATGCGATGCCCCACGACCTCTCTCGACTTCTAAAAACACACAACCATTGCGTCTTAAAAGCGCTTTCGTACAGCACGAATTATCCTCCTCCCCCTCTCTCTACGAACTTGAGAAGGTTATAGGAGACGAGTTTTACAGTCCTCGTACCAATTTTGCCGATTCATTAATGGGTAATTATGCTGCTATTTAGAATGAATAATCATATTGAAGCAGGAACACAAGGCCAAAAAGATATTAATAGAATAAATTAATATATAAGAAATAGTTTTATTTGTTCTCTCAAGTGGTAAAGTACTCTTAGCCAGCTGAATTTCGAATCTATGGTTGGCAATGATTTATACAGTTCTGAGCGGGATTTTAAATGTAATTGGCGCCTGAGTCAGCCGTACCTTTTAGAAATTGGGGATGGACTTGAATTTGAACATGTGTACCACTATTCTGCACTTTTCTTTAATTTATTGCCAAATGCCTCACTTTTTTAAATTTAAAGTAAAGTAAACGTAATCATTAACTATTGAAGACTTTATGCCTCAGGTGGTACGTGTACTCTTTTAAAAATATTGCAATCATTAATAACTATTCTAAACAACAGAAATTCTTTGTTTCATTTTTTAAAGATTGTGAATATTAAAAATTAAACTCTAAATGGTAGAAATCCATTGTTTTATTTATTGGCCTTGTGAAAGATGTTTTCTTTAATTAATTTACAATGGAAAAGTGAAAGCTACATAATAATATTTGTGAAATCAATCTTAGTGGTTCACAAGAATTTTAGGCATAAAATTTGCTAAAAAAATTAATTCTTTTTTTATTATTAAAAAAAAATTAATTACTTTCTGTTCGACAATATGTCATTCAGAGCATTGAAATTTACAACATTAGGACAGCCGTTATGGACTCTAACAGTAACCTCTGGATCACGATTTGTGAAGGCAAAACTTAAGAATTGGAACAATGTTGTAAAGATAAGAAGGTTGGAAAAGAAATAGGAGAAAATAAAATTATGGAGGATGAAATTTATCTTTAGGAAATTTGGAATTAATTCTATGGGGAAAGGTATACCAAGATAAACAAATTGTGTATGATGTAATGAAGGAAGAGTATTAAAAATTTTGAGACCATCATGTTTAATCAAAGCATGCACTGTAGGTAAATTTAGTTCATTATTAATTTGTGTATTGGAAAAAAACCGAGGTGTATGTATAATTTTTCTAAAGAATTTTTTTTAATAATTTGAAGTTTTTGTATATTTGATTTAGCTGCGTTTGACCTTATTGGACAAGCATATGTTAAAGTAGGTCTAACAAGTGTATATTAATTTAGCAATTATAATATGAAGAGTTGAGTTATTATTTATAAGAGAATTAAGTTTATGTATTTTAATAGTTTTTTTTGTATAACATTTTTAATATGAATTTTCCAGTTCAGTTTTGTGTCTTCATGGACACCTAAATATTTGATAGCAGGAAGGCAGCCAAGAAATAGGAGTTTTTTGAATGAGAAGGGAGGAGGAGTTATTGGCTTACATAAGGTAAATATTTTGGATTAGCGTTTATCCATATGGATTTTGATTCTCCAATTGTTGGTCCAAACTGTATAACAATTAAGATCTATTTGAAGTTTATTTCTAGCAAGAAGAATATTAGCATGTGAATTAATAAGAGCAGTATCATCTGCTAAAAGGGATAATTTAGAAGAATTTTGGAATGTCAGGTAGATAAATATTGAATGGCAGAGGAGAAAGACATGAACATTGAGGAATCAAACCTTGAGGGTCGCCAGCAGAAATATTACATTTTTGAGAGAAAGAATTATTGTATTTAACCACAAACGTACTGTTAGATAGGAAATTTTAAATAATAGTTAAAAGATACACAGGAATACCTACAAGATAAAGTTTATATATTAAACCATCAAGTCAAACTGTGTCAGATTTTTTCTATATCTAAAAAGATTGCAAGTGCGTGTTGTTTTAAATCAAAAGAATTTTCTATGAGTTCAGTAATATGCAATAGCTGAAGTTTGAGCGTAAATCAAATTTGTGAGGGTTGAATAATGTTATTTTGAGAAGTGAATGTAAAAGGTATGCAAAGTAATATAGTTTCATACATTTTTTATAATGAAAAAAAAATTATGATAATAATCATATTTATTAGCTCTATTCTGCATAATCATAATCATTCTTATTCTTATATGACTAATTCATAAGAACTTACATCTGTTGAGTAATTTTGGAGGATTTCAATTTTGTATTTCTTTGTTTTTGTACACTGTAAATTAGTAATGTTTTTCATGGGCAGAATCCACATGAACATAGTGCAACTAGAATCATTATTTTATATTTTTTATAGAAATCCTTATGATTCATTATTATTTAGACTAAACACTCATTGAAGAACCCTTTTTTGAAATATCAAAATCCTGCCCCTGTTTACACGTTTTGTCTCATATTTCTACATCATATTAAATGTTTTTTGGTTCCACAGTACATAGTTAAATGCATAGAGATGCAGAAAGGGGGCTAAAAATTTCTAAAAGGGCCTGAGAGCTCTAGGAAATAGAACATTTTATTTCCGAAAATATGATCAATTCCTAATTTTTCTTTTTAAAGCTGACAATATGGAGAATTGATACACAATCTTTGGAGAAGAAGCTCTTCAAACTATCTGACAACCTCATAAATGGTTCATTATAAAATCAATTGTTTTTATTAATTGTATCATTAAAGTTATAATTTTGTATTATAATTTTAATTGTATTTCTTAGTTTTCATTTACTAGTGCCAAACTGGTACTTGGTTTGAAACAACTAGTGACCAAAAACTTGGAAGGAGTTTCTCTCCCTTGGTAGAGAAATGATTCCTACCATGGATATATGCTAATATAATACTTTATTTAAATGAGAGAGAATGTTTTTTGTCATACATGAAAATCTAAATTAATGTGACAAATAGACTCAGAAACAAACTCATTAAGTTAGGTGTATTATTTAAAATATTCTGTAGAACTTTAGATTTCGTTTTTTTATTTTCTATTTTGCAATTAATTCTACATGCATTTTGAATTTATAGTTTTCTTCTTTATACATTTTTGTTTTCATTCATTTTGGAATATTTAAATTACAAATATTTTGAACCGTCTCTAACTTACATGGCTGCATTTGGCAGTTTAAATTTTTAATTTTTTTAATAAATACTGTTTTTACTTTCTCGCTAATGCTTACGAATTATAGAGAATGTTACGTAATGCAGCGGGAAAAAACGGTGAATTTTCGACACAAAAACTATAATTGGTACCTCTGGTAACGAAAAAGTGGATAAATCAAGTTGCTAATTATAGAAAAAAATCCTCTAACACGTGGTGTAGGCAGAATACATGTTATTTAGGTCATTGATACCGAAAAATAAGTTGACGACAAAAACCTCTGTTAATTTTTTTTTTTGGGGGGGGGTGCTTTTCATGGGGGCCCCTGGCACATTTTCAAACAGAATTTTTAATTAAAACTTGTTGGATAATGTAATAGAGTTTAACAGAATAGATTTTTTCCTGTCTTCCTTCAACTACAATAATGCATTTTTTCTTCATGAAATGTATTCATCATAAACAGATTTTCAAATATGGTCATGTTCAATTTTTCGAAAATATTATTTTTGCGTAATTTTGTATCAAACTTAGACAATTTTTAAAATTTATCAAATATTTTCTCAGAAGTGGCTCCGAATTTTGTCTTTAATTTTTTCCACATATTTAGCAAAAAAGGTAAAGAAAGTTTGAAAGAATTTAGCAAACAAACGTAAAAATCGTACCAGTAAGTAAACTTTTATAACATTTAGCATTCTTTTCAATTTTTTATTGATTGATTGGTGATTCTGGGCGCATCAATGGCTAAGGTCATTGGTCCCGTAAGTGTAGTGCGTGATTTTTGCTCGGGATATGACTGTGATCTTCCCCCGCTGGATGGTGAGATCGGGCGCCGACCTACCGCTGGCGCGCGGGTTTCTCCCCAACCAGGAATCTCCCTTCACTCGTGACAAGCTCTAAGTTTCCGACCGGTATTCTGCCCAGTGTAATGCATGCAAGTGTGTGTGTGTGAGTAAGGGTGAAGATAGTACAAGGAAAAGGAAAGAAAGATCGCGCCCGATCAGTCGCCCGTTTGTTAAGGTAATGTTGATCGGGGAAACCACGGAAAACTACAATCAGAGCAGCCGCCCGTTTGAATTCTCTTCCAGTCAGCGATAGAACTCGACCTAGCTATCGAGCTAGTGTTGAAAATCCTGCCATCGTCGGAACCTGAACCTAAGACCTCCCGGTCTGAGGCACTGCAGTGATTTCAATTTATTCCTTGAGCCGCTTCTCCCGGTCTCTTTCCAGAAACAGACCAATTGTACATATCAAACAAGTGATTCCAAAATAAAATTTAACTAAGATACTTTTATCACTCTTGCATCGTTTTATTGCCCTCCTTAGCTAATGCAGTTTCTTTTTCTGAAGGAGAGATCAATTGATTCTTTAAGGTGAAAATGATTTGTGTAAAGCTTAAAGGGACACACAAACAACTTAATTCTTACGAATGCTCTGAAACTCGTGCAATCTATCTTCCAATTTTTAATAATGCGAACAAGTTTTCAAATGAATTACTCTGAGTAAGAAAATACAAATATACTTTATACGAGGGTTGCTTTTTATATTTCAGGGTTAGAGAACAAAAACAAATGTTAATCATCGAAAATCACTTTATTGTCTTTCAAAATATTCCCTACGAAGATCTATACACTTTTGCATGCGTTTGAACCAATTGTCGAAGCACTTTTGCCACTCTGATTGAG